TAAATGGACCATGAAGCTGCAGAAACAGTAGCAAACCACTACGATTTAAGGATACCACCAAACATGCATTCAAAGCAGTTCAAATAAAAAGCCTTCAAGGTTTGCGGTTGACACCAACTCAACTTCCACCATTGCATATATAAAGTTACACTAAAACAGCCCCACCAAATTACACAATTAAACAAAACATGGTCAACACATTCCTCAACCATTTTACACCAAGGGCTTAAACTCTGGGTATATGAAATTGGCAGACCCCTTGCCATAAAAAAAGACTTGGTCGGAAGTCTACCGAGCACCACTAGCCAAAGAAAACATTATACCTTCGGCGGGATTTTAAAAATCCACAATTTTTAAAACTCAAACGGTCCACAGGAATCAAAGGTAGAGTTCATAAGAGAATAGATTTTTTTGATCGAGAACTTACCAAGAGTATCATGCTCCCAAACAATTCTTTCCCTATCCATGTCATCTTTTCAAATATTCATTAAATTGTATGATAAATATCAAATTTAAGATCTATTTTTAATATGTGATAGACTTTTGTTATATTTAAATGTTGGAATTTATATGAACTAATTAACGGATATGTGATTTATTTCATCGTCACTATAACAATTATCAATATATATGTCATGTTTATAAGAATTTAATTTTAAGTTTTTTTTTTTTTTCTGAGTAAATGTATGAGTCTTCTCATATTATTTGCGTACCTTAAGGGCTTGGTCATTTTGATGAACAGGATATAATTGAATAAGATCATTTTGAACTTTTTTTAATAATTGTTCATTTTTAATTTCATATGTTATGTTAGTTTCAGTCACTTAATTTAATAAAATGATTTGATCAAAGGTAATTAATATGATTAATTAATTATTAATCATATATTATATAAGCAAATTACATATTACTATTATTTCGGAGAAGAAAATTGGAAATTTCTATATTATTAGGATTATATGAAATAATAGATCAAGGGTATATTTCTCAAACTCGCTTGTATGAAAGAAAAAGATAAAATAACAAAAATTTACTTATAAAATGTTGTCTTATATATAATATATTATAAATAATCTTACGGACACACACATATATACAGATCAAACAAAAATCGAAAATATTCAGATAGAAGATTTCAAAGTTTCGAAAATAAGAAAAAAAAATATAGGAAAATGCTGAGAGAGAAGATGGAATTAGCTTAAATGAAAAGAGGAGGCCCGTGAGAGATGTTGTCACGTTTGAGAGAGAAGAGGCCAGAGCAAAAACCATAATTGATTGTGTTTACATATGAAGAGCTTTAGGTTTTCTGGTTTGGTCTCACGGGAATCCAGCCACTCCCTTCGACGATCACGTGGTCCTCTTTCTCGTTTATTTATCCATATTCATGTTTATATCACACTTATGTACCATTTGTCTATCTGCTTCACAAATAGTAATTTTTCACGGCATTCCACGCTTCCTCTTTTCGATGCATTAAGCTTTCTTTACCTTAACGTCTTTGCTCTTTGGTCGGTTGTACTAACTCTCATTATTTTGCCGCAGGCTGTTTCACTATAAACCCTAATTTCAAAATTTACCATTAGGGCAGAGAATAACTTTCCATCAATAATGAAAAAAAAAAATTGCTAGTGAAGGTACATGCATGCATGCAATAGCAGTAGTCTAGCAGAAGCAAAAGAGATGCTTCCTGCAGCCAATTAAGTTACTGATGAAATGAGTCACAAAAGCAATACCAAAATCTTTTCTTTCTCTTTCCCAGGGTAAACCAGATGATCTTCCTAATACCCAGAAAAAAAAAAAGTCTTCAACATCAAATTAAACTACAACAAGACAAAAAAAATTGAAGAGAATCCCCACCGTTGCTGTGTTTTGTGTAGAAACACTAAACAGGTAATTATATAGACAAAGAGTACCTTTGCAGTTTTGAGGGGTCTTTACAATTTGTACTTTTTTACCTGTGTCTATTGACTCGTAAAAAATGTTACTACAAGGTCAAAAACTACTTTGAAAATCAAAATGTTCTTTCCTCCTGTGTTTGGGATTGCAATTTTACAAATAAAAGGTGTCAAAAAAAAAAAAGAATCATAATATAATTATACTGTATATAACTCCTTTATATGACAGGATCAAATCAATTAAAAAGTTTCTATATCAATTAAAAGATGGGAAAAACTTATATAAAGTTTTTTAGGTGAAATTTGTGAAGCTTTTAATTAAAAATGATTAAATAAAACATAAAATTGAAAATCAAAATCAATAGATTGAAAGATTTTGTTATATAAATTATGTAAAATTTAAAAAAATTTAATAAATTTATATATATTTTTTTTAGATCGACATTTTTAATAAAAATATTAATAAAATTTTTACTATTGAATTAATATCAATTAAATGTAAATTATAAACAATATTTTTAATAATTTTTTTTACATATTATTGATCTGCACATTAAACTCTATCAATTTATTGATTTGGATTTTTTATTAAAGTTTTTATTAAATTATTTTTTAAAAAAATTCACAAACTTCAACTAAAAAATTTCTTATAAATTTTCTTCTTAAAAGATTGACATCAAGAGGAGTGTTTTAGATCATATGAGTTTTGCTAAGAACTTATGCTTCATTTAAATAGCTTTTAGGAAGGAGTTTTCACCATACATCCATATAAAAACCTTTAAACGTTATAATTTCAATTTTGATTCATGTATTCGTTGCTTAAATTAGAATCAAGATTAAAATATGATTTTTAAAATAAAAAATATATATCTAAATCATATAAAAAAAGAGTTTAGATATTTGAGTTTAATTTACTGGTCGAGTAAAATGTTTTTAAAAATATTTATTAAGTTGATTATTTAAAATAAGAAAAAATAAAAATATTTCTATGAATAACATCTTAACAATGTTCTTGAACATATTTGATTAAACAATGATAGGTCTTTTCTTTTCTGTCTTTCAATTAGGAACAACAAATGGAAATGTCTTATGAATTTCTGTCATTAATTAAATTATGAAGACTATAGGAGCTCTATATGTGTGCTTGTCTCCTTTCTCAAGGACTATTACAGCCCAAAAGTATCACTCATTTGTTTTTTCTTTGGGCCACAATTACTCAACCACTTTTTTGGAAGGTGTCCAAATTAATTAAAAGGTAAGATTACATCCCCCAAAATCCTACTTAAATGTTGAAGAACAGGTGCAAGATTTTATATGGGGGATAATTAAATTGAAGAAGAGGAAAAAGGCAGGTTAAAAGGGACATTACAAGGCAAGTAATAGATAGACCAAGGCTGCAAGTAGCGTTCCTGGCAGAGGCCCACTGTTACTGTGTTCCTCTTTCTCTGACTCAACCTTACCACTGCTTCTGCCATTGTTGCTACTCTGATTTTTCTTTTTTCACTTGTAACTATTAAAACTCTATGTATATTCTACCAGAGCACATATCCAGGCTTTCATGCATGTCAACAATTCCCATACATTCATGGACCATGGCTCAGTCCCATATGGAGCATATGTATTTGCATCATATCTCTTAAAAGATTTAGCAGACCCTTTTTATGAGTTTCTATTTTCACCTTTTACTTTTATTTAATTTCCATCCTATTAATTACTACATGTTTTAAGCCACATAAACTCATCTGAATTTTAGTACTAATTGCATGCATAGGATTTTTTTTTTTGGTAAAAAGTCTGAAATTAATTAATATAAAGGAAAAATAGCTAGCTTGATATCTTCCAATACATTTGTTCACCTGACCTAATAATTTATTACTAGTCTATGTTACATAAGCATTAATTTTCTCCTTGGGAAAATTTTACACGTGGGATATATATAGGATGAGAAAACTATAATTTAATAGATAAAGTAAATTTCACATATGATAACTTAAAATTATTAATAAATAAATAAAATAACAAACATCATTTCACTTATAATTAATTAATTTTAAATTGGATATTTATTTTAAGATTTAACGTGATATATATTAAGCTTTAATAGATGTTAAATTATTAATTTGGATTAATATAAGAAGCATTTTCCTATAAAAAACATTTTTTAAGAAATTAAGAATACATGATAAAATATGTAAATCGCTTTCTTTTTCAACATTAACTATTATTTTTCAATAGTAAAATTTTTTTTTAATGGAGATGGAGAGATTTAAACCAATTATTTAAGCAAAGAATTATACACCAATTATTAAATTAAATATTCAGGTGTTTAATAGTAATTAGTAAGGAATTAATTTGAGTTAAAAATAACTTTGAAATGTTCCCTATATATCCTAAAATTATAACTTAATAATAACAAGAAACAAAAGCCTTAATGGACAGCAAATCAGCAATTCCCATTACTCAATATAAATTCATAGTGCTTCACAGTTCATTGCTTATCCAGAATTGTAATTTGGGCTAACCGATTGCCCATTGTGTCTTACTTTGTGGGAAGCGGACAAGAGGAACTAAGAGTGGATTTTATTTAACTTCTCTAACAAAACCAGATATGCCTCATTTTTTCCAAATACTAAAATACAGTACTTAATTATTACTACAACACGAAACCTATTTTTAATCTCTTTTTATTTCATTGCATTAACTATGTCTTAATTATTACTGAAAAAATCTCATTTTCACCTAATTTTTAGATTCAATAATTTTAAACATAATATAATATATATTATAAAAATAATATAAAAAATACATAAAACTAATATTATTAAATTTTTAATATAAATCATATATAAATTTAATAAAAATATATTTTGCATTATGTATATGAATATAATATTTTTATATTTTATATATATTAAATATAAAATAAATAAATATAAGTACACGAATATCATAACTATATATCACCAATTAACCATGCATGAAGAACAATCTCTAGCCAAATTTTGTTTCAATCTAGTTGTGTATCTCGCTCATCAGTTTCAGATCATCTATACTTTCTTTGTCTTTTCTCTCTCTTAATTTCCTCTTGTAGAGCTAATTAATTATATATATTTGCCCGCTCTTTATTCTAGTGAGATCTACTCTTTCCTGATTTCCTCTTTTTCTGTCTTTCATGTAACTTTGTTTATTCCAATTTCCACAGCAGATCTATCCTCAAAGAGTACCCCAGCTTATATTTAAGAATTTCCATAACCCCCAGAGCCTTCTTTGATGAATATCACAAGACCCCATCATCAACCCCATCTCTGTCTCTCTATCCCATGCATGAAAACAATCAATTGAGTATCTTTGCCTCTGCAAAAGGAAACTGAACCTTGATACAATCCCACAATTTCTTTTTTTTTTTTTCATTTTCAAGTTGTTTTTCTCGATTGTCTTTCCATGATGCCTCCTGACAATCCTTCTGTAAAACCAGCTACTGCTAAAGAAGAAAACCAAAACAGTGGCAACCGGAAAGCAGCTTCAACAAGGCCACAAGAGCACCTAAAGTGTCCAAGATGTGACTCTCCCAACACGAAATTCTGTTACTACAACAACTACAGCCTCACTCAACCAAGGCATTTTTGCAAGACTTGTCGGAGGTACTGGACTAAAGGTGGGGCTTTGCGCAACGTGCCAATCGGTGGAGGTTGCCGCAAGAACAAGAAGATAAAATCGTCTTCAAGGCTGTCAGGTGACTCCAAAGACTCCATCTCATCTTCAGAGATGGGCGGATTGAAGTTTTTTCATGGCCTTTCTCCAGCCATGGATTTTCAGCTAGGCGGGTTGTCATTTCCCAGGCTTAGTCCATCACCAGCTGGTATTTATAACCAGTTTGCTTCATTTGGAGAAACTACTAGCACTTCTCTCAGTCTTGATCCATCTGGTAGCTCTAGTTCTTTGATGGGGTTTAGTAATTATCCATTATCTTCAGTTACCAGTGGCCCCAGTGGTGCAATTCAGGAAATGGGTTCACTGAATGTTAATAGTAGCCTTGCTTCTTCAATTGAGTCTTTAAGTTCCATAAACCAAGATTTACACTGGAAGTTGCAGCAGCAACGATTGGCTATGCTTTTTGGTGGAGAGAATAATCAAAAGGAAAATACCACCACTATTTCTTCAGTTCCACTTGAGAACCAAGCACACAAGCCACAATCCGTTTTGTTCCAGAATCTGGAGACTTCAAAACCTGAAATTTTAGCTGTTGGTAATTCAAGAAAAGGAACAAGCAATGAGACCGCCACAGAATGGTTCTTTGGGAATTCTATAGCACCAGTAATTCCAACTCCAACCACTAGCATCAATGGCAATGATAACACAAGCAACTGGAATGGCGTTCAAGCATGGAATGATCTGCATCAGTACAGCACGTTGCCCTAAAAAGAGAAGGATCTAAAAGGTAGATGGCAAAAAAGAAAAATAGGGAAAGAGTAATATATTTTCTAAAAACCCATTTAGGTAACTGTCTGTTTAAAGTGTTTTATTAATTGGGTTCAGGTATCATCAACATGTCAAAGTTGCAGATAAAAAAAAATAGTGTTTTTGTCTCTTTTTGTTATTTATTTTAATAAGATGTTGAATATTAGTCACTTTATAATTTGGGTTCCTTTTATTTCTACCAATTGTTTGTGTTTGATATATACTTTTTGATGATAGTGCTAGACGTATATCTGTTTTCTTTTGCATGTTTCTACAAAGATTATATGTAGGAGCAAGCAGCTGGATTCCTGCTGCCAATAAAAAAGGCCTAAAGTTTTTTTATGAAAGTGAAAGCTGTAGCTGGCTCTACTATGACTAAATGTATATGATCAGGGAGACATGAAAATTTCGTATTTGTTCTTATATACTCAATCTCTCAATAAATTTCCCTTTTTTTTGGTTTGATATGCCTTACAATTTTATCTTCCTTGACTCAATCTCTTTGGGATCTGTGATGGATTTTGGACTGTTATCTTTGATTTGTTTAATGTTCAGTCAGTGTCCAAAACTCTCACTGTCTCACTGTCTCACTGTCTCAGTGTCTCAATCTCTCCCTATCAGGGAACTGGGTCTCAGGCTCTTCAGGCTACTGAACATTGTTACCATATACATGAAACACCACGGCCGCAGGAGTAGCTGGCGAAGCCCTTCCTTGCCTAACCTTGCAGTGTTAAGCCTGGCCTGTTTCCTTTATCCTCTTTCCCTCTCTCTCTCTCTCTCTCTCTCTCTCAATGCCTAGGCCTTTTCGTAAAGAATTAGTTGCAGTGTGGTGTGATTTGGTGGTGTCTGAAAAAGTGGTAGTTTGAAAGCTTATTGAATGAAAGACTGCCAACATTTGAATTGAGAGAGAGAGAGAAGGGAGGCATCTAAAAAGCCTAGGGTTCGTTCTTTTGTGTGTGCCAAAATGTTTTGGTTGTAGCTTTTTAGGGTCTTGGGGGGTGAGCCACCCTCCCTGCTAATTGCTACTGATCAGCAATCACATTGTGGTTCTGTTTTTTGACTGGTGCGGCTGTGAGAGATGAGTGATAAAGCTTTGCTTTTTCCCATCACTGCATTTGCCTCATCTTTACTTATTACTTTCACTATTTATATGATAAACAATTTTGGTCCCACAATCTTGCAAAAGATATTAGCCTGGCCTTAACCCCACCTTCATTTTCTCCATTAGTTTTAGGGAATGTTAAAGTTATTGGCGTCGGAATAATTTTATCAATATCCTTTTCTAATTTTTGTTATTAAATCTTGCTTTTCCATGGTGCATGCAATGGCGAGCTTTTCCATAGATAATATATAATCACAATCATTCTCATCGTGATTTTCATATAGTATAGCAATTAAATGAATCACTCGACCCTTTTATATCCAAATCATTAAGATTTCTCCTCATGCATTAATCAAGTAGCTAGGAACATTTATAACCAATTAGTTTTCTTTCTTTCTTTTTGGTTTCTTTAAAGGTAGAACTAAGGGGAGGGAGAGTCAGATTTCTTTCTATTTCAGAGCCTCAAAATAATTAATGGAACTCATGGCTTTTAATTACTTCCCCCATATCTTCAACATTCTTCTTCTTACCCTTTAGCCCTTAATCTCTTATCTGCCTTTTTCTCGACTTTTCAACATTATATATGTGCAACATTCTATGACCATAGGCTTTATATGTTTACCGAATGATGTCCCCTCTAAAGATACCAAAAACTCCTTATTATGCCTTTAGCCAAAGGTCCCCCCCCCTTTTAATATAATGTTTCTGCTTTTCTCTACCAATATTTCCTTTTATGTACAAAAGTTTTGAAGCGATCATTTACCCATTTGTTTTATTCTTCCGATGATTTTTTATGGACAAAATAATAATCATATAGTAATTAACTAAATATATATTATTTTATATTATATATATATATATATATTAACTTGTGGTATAGAGACAGAAAAAGAAATGATTGGCTGATGAAGAAGAAAACTGACGAAGAACATGAAGAAGCGTGATTAACGTGATAGGTCTCATTGGGAGAAAAAAAAAAGTTTTGATAGAGACTATTTGGTGATGTTGGTGTGTTTCTTTGTGTCTCTAACTGTCATTTTTACAACTTACAAACATGCAAGAAGCTCATGATTCATGGCACCGGGAACTATATATCTGCTCATTCTTCACCCCCAACCACCTCTATTGCCACTCCAATCTATGGCATTGCCCATCACTCACCTACCCTTGAGTTTTAATTAACAGTTTAAACATCAATCCTTTCATGGGCCCAAATCCAATTAATCCTGTGATCAGTTTGACTCTTACCCTCTGTAATAGAACATGACAAGGACCCGGGACCCATTTTGTCCTAAGATAGTATCAATCTTACCAGATCTTTCTTTTAAATTGAGAATCATATAACTCGTAAAGCTACGTTCAAAATTTTAGAAATATATAAAATGAGAACATAGAAAGAATAAAAATCAATTTCCTTTTGTATTTTTGAATTATACATGAAACGGCAATCATTTCCTTTCATATAGAACTCGTCTCGTTTGATTTCTGAATTTTGACCCAAACTTTTGACTAAAACCTTAAAATTACCAACATTAGAAAAGTAGTTACTTATTTCCAATCAAATTGAATATACTACTAATGATCTAGAACGGGCTTTTAAAGATACGTGAACAGATTATTAAATCGAAATTTAAATTTTAATCTTTATAATTATTTTTAGACCCTCTCTCTTTTGTTAAAAAGAAAAACACAACTTGAGAACAGTAATTAAAAAAAAAAAGCTTGAGAACATAACAAAGGGGAATCTGGAAGTGTATCTGTTTAAATAAACGTAGCAATTACCTAATCTTACATGTCATCAGCATTCATTACATAATAACGCTTTCTCCCTTTGAAAGCAAGATATTTTCCTTTTTGGTTTTGTCGTGTCTGCGATTACTTGTTCAAACAATGGGCCAGCCCTACTCAAACGAGAAAAATGTTTTTGCCTGTCATCACTCCTTTTGGACTCTTCTGCTCTAGGTCTTGGGTTTCAAAAATTAATTTTTTTATTGAAAAAAAATTTTAAAGTCAGATAAATTATTTTTATTTTTAAAATTAGGGTAAATCACTAATTTATAAGAGAATTTATAGATTTTTTAAAAAATTTTTGAATTTGTAAATTACTTATCAATAAAATATCATGAGATTCAAACTTGAATATTTTATATCTAAATTTTAAATTTTAATCACTTACATCAATTATTATTGATAAAAAATCAACTATTTCAATTTTAACATTTTATCCATTTACTTCCATTTCCCTTTCTTTTCTTCCCTATTAATTTCAAGGGAATGTTAACAATATAATTAATATATGAGATATATTTTAAATTTAATTAGTAGACATGCACGTGCTTTCTTTTGTTTTTTTTATTAAAATTCAAACTCAGTTACCCTAAACTCCTATTCTATATTCCATTGTCCAATACACTTACGTTTACATGTTTTCCATGTTGATGAAAATTTTTCTTGTTTGTGTGATGTCTACTCCGCCCCATTTGACTGATTATAGAACTTCTTTTTTCATTGGCCAATGATAAGAAAGCTGGTTTCTAGAGATGAAGTGACCCAAACGGGGTTTAAAACGCAATGAATATTGCACTTGTACTGGTTTGTTTCTGTTACTACAAATCACTGAAAGTGATGACAGCATGACAATGTTGTCGATTTTTAGTTTTTTAATATACTTAATTTTAATATTTAATAATTCTTTGAAATATTTGTGTTTTTTTTTAGCGTAAATATTTGTCCTATTTTATACAAAGTATCACGGGTTGGATCGGAGTAAGTTTTTACTCGGCTCGAATTCGATCCGATCAGATAATTTTTTATTATTTTTATATTCAAATTCAATTCGATTTGATATTATATAAAATCATATTCGATTCGATCTGATTTAAAATTAATAAAATATTATTTTTAATATAAATATAAAATTAAATATATAAAAAATATATATATAATTATAAAATTAAATAAATAATTAAAAAATTATTTATATATTTAAGATCGGATAGATCAGATCGGATTTGCCTAAAATTCAACTTCGATTTTTTTTTCATGTCACTTGACCTGACCCGATACCCAATTTAAAAAAAAAAAATCGATCCTATAAGATCGAATCAGATCAGAATCCATCGATTTCGAATTTTTTTATCTTCTTTACAAAATATACATATCACCACTAAAATCTCTCTAGCTTTACTTTGAGAGGTATAAATATTTTTTATTTTTAAAAGTACAAATAAAATAATTTTGTATTTAATAATTTTTAAAAATAAATATTATAAATCATAATTTTGTAAAATAATATCTATTCTAAAATTTTCTTTCTCCCTATATTTCTCTCTTTTTTTTCTAGGTGGCTTTTTTTTTTTCGTTAAAAGTCCCAAAATTTCCACTATATTTTAAATCTAAAATTTATAAAGATAGAACTTAATAGCTTTCCTTTTTTTTTTTTTTGTTTTGAAACATTCAGCAATCAGCTGTAACAAGATATATACCGGCTGAGTGATTTTAAAAAATGATAATAAATAATAAATAAATAAATAATCGTTATTATTCGATTAATTTATGTTAAATTTTACGTCACGCTTACATCTGCGATCACCGTACCAATAGTTTTTGTTAACCTCGACTCAACGTTATCCGTACTAAAATTCCTTCCCAACATCAATATCAGTAGTAAAATGTTTGTGACTTACATATCTTGCTTCAGTTCATGTTAAATAATCAAACCATTTCTAATGTGGTTAATTGCTTTCCTGCATGATAAAATTAAGCATTTATCTAATCATATGCAGCAAGTTGGAAATGACATTCCACCAAAAAAAGTAGTTTTGCTGTTTTAAGTTATGATTATATATCAGCTGTTTCTACACAGAACTAATAAAAAAAATTAGGTATCTTGATTGCCATAATCAGGGAAAAAGTAAGGCCGACATGTTTCATTTTATTTTATTTTTTTTTGGGGGAGGGGGGGTGGGGGGAGGAGAGGGGGGGAAGGAAATCAACATATGCAATTTTAATTCGAAGATAATTTCCCTAAAAACATTGATGGGATTCATTAACTCATGCATTGTTAAACATAATTAAATAATACTCTATCAGAAAGCACGCTAGCCATTTCAAAATATGAATAAAACTTCATTTT